TATGTTCTACAAGGACACTTACATTGGGAGACTTCCAATTAATCACCCCATCCTTCTGTAGAAAATAAATAACAGGTAATGTAAAATGTCACTAATTTTCCAATAGATAGTTAATAGAATATTATTTTGGGATCTGTTTCTCAAATGGTGTTTATTAATGAAATATGTGCCTTTTTTGAATTGTCAATGACTAGTTGCTTATTTATGATTAAGCAGTTTTTTTAAAAATTGATTTTTTTTCTCCCAACAGGTTTCGGTGGGCTACTTTCTTCTATTTCTATATCTAAATTTGCTACAAGCATGTAACATTAATTATTGCAGAAGATGTTTAAATTCTTTCTGATTTTCCCAAATCAATGACATTGGTATGTCACTTCTAGGGATATGTTTTGAAACTATGTTGATATGAAGAAGATAGACTATTATATCAGGACATAGTACATATGTATAACTACTAAATTTATTTGAAGTCCTCTCTTAGATATGAGGATTTCTCAGCATTTCCTCAATATATATTTTGACCTTAAAAGTTAATAGTTTGTCGGCAAAAATCAAGAACTCTAACAACAACAGATGCTGGAGGGGATGTGGACAGAAAGGAACCTTAATTCATTGTTGGTGGGAATGTAAACTTGTTCAACCACTTTGGAAAGCAGTATGGAGGTTCCTCAAAAGACTCCACATAGAGCTCCCCTATGACCCAGCAATCCCACTTTTGGGCATTTACCCAAATGATCACAAACAAGGCCACACTAAAGGTACCAGCACAACTATGTTTATTGCAGCATTATTTACCATAGCTAAGATATGGAACCAACCCAGATGCCCCTCAGTAGATGAATGGATCAAGAAAATGTGGTATATATACACAATGGAATTCTATGCCTCCATCAGAAAGAATGACATTGCCCCATTTGTTAGGAAATGGAAAAACTTGGAAAAAAATATATTAAGTGAAGTAAGCCAAGCCCAAAGAAACATAGGTCCCATGGTTTCCCTTATTTGTAATATCTAGTATATGTATGAGTCAAGCGGAAAAGGTCAGATAATGTGATGTCAGGAAAATGAACCGTTAGATGTGTATTTTAATGTTTTTTTCTTTCATGCATGTGTTTCTAACACATTTATAAGATTATTTCTTTGTTGCTTTGTATGTCCCTCCCCCACAGTATAACCCTTGCTTTCACTATATTTGATGTCAGTATAACTTGTGGAGGAGATGGGGAAAAACCAGTTGTTTAAGGATACAGGTGGACCTGTTGCAACAATGAGAAGTACAAGTTGTCATGTCCAAAACGAGCTTTACAACGTTGGTGCGGGGGAGGGGGGGGGGGGAGGAGAAGGATTGGGATTAGGGGGGGAGGGGGGAGGCTGGGAAGGGATGTGAAGGATAAACAAAGGAGGAGGCTGCAATGCTTGGTAAGAAATGTACGCATTATCCTGCCCATGTAACTGTAACTCCTCTGTACAGTATGTTCACAAATAAAATTAAATTAAATTTAAAAAAAAAAAAAAAAAGAATTTTTAGTGTTAATGGCCTCGAATAACCTTCAAATATATTTAAGGATCTACGGGCTAGATCTTCTAACAAGGTAATCGAACAACAAATTTCATGCAAATCACACCTAGAACTCTACCTGGGAGCTGACCATAAGTCTTCACACTGAATAAACACCTAAGGTAAGTCCCACGTCAAATGCATGGAACAAGCCTTGTTGGAAGAAAACAGAACCAGGAGCTAACTTTACTTATAGGTAGTATCAATGGTATTGTGTGTGTGTGTGTGTGTGTGTGTGTGTGTGTGTGTGTGTGTGACATGTATTTATGTTTTCAGTCAATAGCAAAAGAATAACAACACCGACAACCACAAATCAGACAACCACAAATCAGAGCCCTGCCTTCTGTTGCTAAGAACACAAATAATCATGACACCTTAGAAAGACATTAGGTTCATTATTTTATGGCTAAAGAAGAAACCAAGTGTCAGAAAGGTCAGGAAATGCAAATCCTGTCTCCCAGCCTGGTGGTGGGTCTCTATACCATAGCCCCCTGATGCCCAACTGAAATTTCACATCAGTGCACTGTCTGCACAAGGGATATGGGACATGGAACTTAAAAGAGGAACTCTGGAGGTAGGCATCCATAGCTCACGCCTGTAATCCTAACTATTCCAGAGGCTAAAATCTAAGAATTGTGGTTTGAAGATAGCCCAGGCAAGGAAGTCTGTGAGCCTCTTATCTCCAATTAACTAAAAAGCTGGAAGTGGAGCTATGGCTCAAGTGGTAGAGTACCAGCTTGAGCAAAAATCTAAGGGGCACTGCCCAGGGCCTAAGTTCAAGTCCTAATGTCAGTATACACATACAGAAAGAGTAGCTTTAGCATCTTGTACCAGTTCTACTTTCAAGCTGTAATTCCCTGGAGGATGGTTACTCATGAGTTAGCAGGAACCCAGCAGATTGAATATGAGCCATACTACATCCTGAAGTCTCCAGTAACTAATGGGAGAATCTAGTCATGCAACCTCCAGCTTGTTTCTATGGGAAGTGAACAGGATATCCTCACTGTGAAACCAAAGACAGACCTGTGAAAATGCACTGTGAACTTTCACGTGTTAAAAGCGGGGCACTGCAAATATTTTTTTTTTGGTTGGTTGTGGGGCTTGAACTCAGGGCCTGGGTGGTGTCTCTGAGCTTTTTGGCTCAAGGCTCATGCTCAACTACTTTGAGCACAGCTCCACTTCTGGTTTCCTGGTGGTTAACTGGAGATGAGTCTCACAGACTTCTCTTCCCAGGCTGGCTTCGAACTGTGATTCTCAGATCTCAGCCGCCTGAGTAGCTAGGATTGCAGGCATGAGCCACCAACATCCAACTGCAAATAATGCTTAAAGGAAAATAATTAAATAACTCTTAGATCCCTTCAGACATCAGGGGATTGCTACAAGCCTCTCAGGCAGCAGCAAGCTGGCTGGCTGATAAACTACCTTCGGAAAAGCCTGCCAGAAAATCCAAGGATCCAAAGACTTGGAGCGATGGTAGGGGGGGAGGGGGGAGGGGGGAGGGGGGAGGGTGGGAGAGGGCAGAAACCAGGTGAACACGAGTGCCAGTTTGTGTCTTTGCTTCCTTACTCTAATCTTCCTATATTTTAGTAGATGTAAGAGATACAGAACTAAACAGTATCCCAAAAGCCACATAAAATACTAGCATCCCCCAGCCTCCAAAATCCAAAGGCAGACTCTAGGAGAGGCAAATAGTCCATGCAAAACACGCATCGGATAGCATATATCTACTAGGGTCATTTGTCACTCCAGGTAGGGTGATGTGTAGCATTCTTTTTAAAAAATGCTTTGTGTATGCCTTTACAAATGAGAATTCCCCTGCAAAGTTTTTCTTTAAAGCAAGCATATGTGTGTGTGTATGTGTGTATGTGAGATGAGACAGAATAAGACTAAAATGTTTTCCACTATACATGACAAAAGAAAGTACAGACGTGTCCTTTTTCTACCATCTCTGCAATATTTTTCTGCAAAAAAAATCATCAAAAATATTTTGTGTCTATTGTACGGAAGATATGCTAAGCAGTTATCAAATCTACACCCAGTTGTTCATTATTCTTAATGTGGTATGCTAAAATATTTTTCACTCACTCATTCTATAAATCTTAAGATAGTCTAGAGGCAGCAGGCTATTCAGTTATATGTTTAGTTATAAATGCTGCCAGATACATTTCTGAAAATGTTCCTCAATTTCCTTTTCCTTAAAAAAAAAAATCCATTTGTACAATCTGGAAACATGCATTTGAAAAACATACCTCCTCCCAAGTCAAACCCAGATGCATGTATGTGCAGACATATCTATGCAGCAATTGCCCTGTGAAAATGGCATCACCTTCACACACACACACACACACACACACACACACACACAAACACACACACACACACAAACACACACACACACACACACACACGCTACCTTTTCAAAAAGCAAGGACAAAATCTACACATTTAACAATATGGCAAAACATGATCATGTTTCTTTTATTTCAATAGAAAAGGGAAGATCAAACAGCAAACAAGAACAAACTATGTACTCTTAAAAGAAATGGCATGCATCTGCACTACTCAAAATCACCCCAAAGAGCAAAATGCATGAACCAAAGTAGTTCCATTTTCTCTATGTAAAGCTTTTCAGTTGCAATTAGCAGGCTACGTGCAAATGTAGGAGCATTTCTGTACAGAGCATTTCTCGTGGTTAAACATGCATGCCTCATTTTTCTAAAAAAGAAAAAAAACAAAACTATATGTGGCTGACTCACCATTTTCTTTCCATGTCCACCGCCAATGTCTAGGGAGTGAAAATGCCTTTTTCTGATGTTACCGAAAAAGAAAAGGCAAGGCAAGCATGTGACCCTGGCATCCTCCAGCCAGCCCCCTTGATAATCCATCTGCAGAGCTCACACACATCAAAGGTCTCGCACAGCAAGGGCTACCAGCCCCAGCAGCAGGGATGACGATGGCATTCTGCCTTCCAGCTCCAATGTGAAAACCAGAGCTGCAAACATTGCATGATAGCCACACATGCACCCCAAGCAAGCGTGCCCACGCATACATGCACGTGCCTGCCCGCACAGCTCCAGCTGGAATCTGCACCCTGGTTTGCATGATTTTTTTTTCCTCTTCAGGCACAACAATAAACAATGAGAATGCTTGCAGATCTTGCCAGATCTTATCCATGCCATTGTGAGCCGACAAGTAGCCCTGTCTTTCAGACACCAGAACAAAAGAGACATTGGGAACTATGACCCTCTAACAAATGGCACAAATGATTTTAGACTAGTGCCCTCCCGGAACAGATGAGATACCCTGAAAAGGAGCACTGACATCCCTTACCTCTTTTCGGCTTGCTGCAGTAGCTTCACAGCCTGTGAAGGCGGCAATGCGATTTAGAGACCCACAGCCCCGCCACCGCTGCTGCAGCAGCAGCGCCCTGCTGACAGCTCAGTCACCACAGCATGCTGGCAGCAGCTGGAGCGGCAGAGCCTGCTGCCTTGTGATGGACAAGTTCACGCAGGCTCCCTCTGCCAACTTCCACCTCCACCAGCCAGTCATATCTGGCCTCAGGGGGGAGTGCTCCTAACACTTCCACGGCTAACCCTCCAGAGACTGCATTTTCAACTCCAAAAGGCTGGGCGGTCCTTCTGTCTCCAGAATGGGAAATATAGAGAAGCCTACGGCACAGATGTCAGGCAGCTTTGTCTAGAAGTACACTCACTGATCACGGAAGTGTGCAGTACATGGGTCAACTCCACGACCACGATGGAAGTTAAAGTTAAACTCCATAGCCTGTGTTACGTCTTTCGCAATTCTTACGTTGATTATACACTCATTAGGAATGTAATCCATCAACCAACCAACCAACCAACCGACGGATCCACCAACCATTCTGGAAGTTTTACTGTGTGAACAGCATTCAGATAAGAAGACAAAGCTGACAGGCTGATCTGATTCATCCGATTCATCACTTCACAATTAAAATTAAGTCTCAGAGCCCCACCTCCACTCCTAGTAGAGGTTATGACCTCAAGGCCCATGGTCTCCTTGGCAGTGAGGGAAGAAGTGCCCCTCCCATGGCTATTCCTAACAGCCCTTCCCACACAAGACACCCCCCCGCCCCCCAGGCTTACTCATCAGAAGTGACTTCTCTAATTAACCCATTAGTTAATTTCGTCTGGCACGAGGGCCTTGCACTCAGGGCCTGGTCCTTTAGCTTTTTTATTCAAGGCTGGTGCTCTACCACTTGAGCCACAGATCTTCCAGCTTCATTTTGGTGGTTAACTGGAGATAAGAGTGTCGTGTCAAGGACTTTCCTGTCTAGGATGGCTCTGAATCATCCTCCTCAGATCTCAGCCTCCTGGGTCGCTAGGATGACAGGCGGGAGCCAATGGCATCTGGCTTAAGTAATTTCTTTCTTCCACGCGTATCTCACCTAGATCCTTCATTGTTGTACTCTACGCAGTATCACCAGATTGGGGTGTGCAGTTTGAGAGAATATTAGTAGTCTCATTAATCCTGACATTCTGGAGCTGGCCCAGGCAAAGTATGACATGCAGCCAGAATTGGGGGGGGGGGGAGGGAAGCCCACTGGGAGCTACTACACAGTGCACTGCAGCTGGGAATCCCCCACTAAAGATGCATACTGGCCCTGCCGTTCTCCCCAGCTTCCTAACTTGGGGCCTGATGAGGTGTAAATCAGCAGCATGTAATCTCTAAGTAGGAGGCAGGGCTAACTCGCAGAAATACATACACAGGCTAGCTGGGCATTGGTGGCTCACGTCCGTAATCTTAGCTACTCAAGAGGCTGAGATCTGAGATTGTGGGTCAAAGCCAGCCTGGGCAAGAAGGTTCATGGACTCTTATCTCCAACTAACCATCAAAAAAGCCAGAAGTGGAGCTGGGAATCCTACACGTTTGCATTCAATTTCTGGCTCACACAGAAATCAGCTGGGTTCCTGCGTTAGGGAGGGGCAGGAATAAAAGTAGAGAAGGGGGAGAGAAAGGCTCTGTTTACACTGAGCTTACCATTTAAAGGTAAGCAAATAAATTTACACACTCATTTGAGAGTGCACCATTTAGAATAACCTCACGGATGAACAGCAGTGAATATAATCCTCCATATACACACAGGCAAGGCCCATGAGTCTCAAGGACTCTTACAAAAGCAAAATATCCAGTCCTTGTAGCTATCTGGTGGGAGAGCTAGCCTCAGTGGACTCTTTGTTCTCACAGGACTATGTACAGATACAATAGTTTCATAGTTTAACACACAAATAGGCAGAAAAAAGTAGCTACAATCGAGCTTCTTTGAGGGCAGGCAAGGCGGGCTAATGTAGAAGGAATGCGCTAGCTGAGCCGGATCCGCTGTCAGCTTGGACCTCAGGTGTCCTTCCTCCCGGTCATCTCTGCGAGTCAGCCCTCCTAACTGTGCTTTTCAAGAGATCAACCTGCCACCAACGCTCCGATGTCCTCTTACTGACTGTATCTTCTACAGTGCTGGAATCACACAGCCAAAATTGTAAATCATACAATTCAAGGATGAGGGATGCTTAGAGCCTACATCTTTAATGATGAACTGGACGTCATTAACAGTAGAAAGAACAAGAAAACAAAACAGGGTCCCATAGCAGTTCCCCGGAGAAGAAACAGGAATCAAAGACCAGGCAGGCACTTCACCCTTTGGTTCTAGAATGAAAAAGAAAGCATCTTGGCTAAATACGAACCAAAAGAGATCATGAGAAGGAACAGAAGATAATGACAGTCTCAAAGGTAGCCGTGACAGCATTTCCCAAGGACTCTGTCAATCTGAATACTATTAACGTACAGGGCACTTAGCTCTATATAACCTTACAAGGGGTGCCCTACACCTGCGCCCTGACTCTGCCACACACAGCAACAAGGTGAGAGGGTGGAGAGTTGTGTTGCTTTACTTGCAGAGAACGAGAAAACAATGAATACATCTGGACCTACCCAACCAAAGCCAACCCAAAGAGTCAAAGGTCAACAGAGAAGAGGTAAGGATCCAGAAAAGACTAGCTTGCTTACCAGCCGCATCTTCCCATGAGAAGAGGGCGCCACGTGTTCCAGACTTCTTACCCACTACGAGAAGAGCTGTGTAGTCATTGGTGTGGGGCTTTTCCCCGAGGCTGGGGATTCTCCCCAGAGCAAACAGTCCGGGGAAGCCCAGCAAGTGACTGGAGGGAGCAAGGCAAGGTCGCCTCCCTCTGGGGACCTCGAGGCAGAGGAGGCAACACGCAAAACTTCTGCCTGCGCAAGCCTTTATTTCCCTCCGCTCTACCCCGCGCTTAGAGCTTCCACGTTCAGCTGTCATCCGTGCTTCTTGTTTCGCTCCTCTTGGGCAATTTGTAGAGCTAATAGTTTTCACTCTGTTTTTAAGCGTGTTCTCCTCCACGCTGGGACTTGGTGGGTCTGTGTCAGTTACTGGTGTTTCTCCTCTCCAATTCCAAGCTTGTGGCCCCCAGACCACCACCTGACAACTCCTTCTAATGTGGCGTCACAGACGACACCAACATGTAAACAGGAAAACTTCAATTGCCCCTCAGCTAATTGAAGACCAAGCATAGTAAACATTTGCCTTCAAGCCGCAAGCAGAGGCGTACAACTCAGATGATCAAGCTCTGTCACTTAAGTGTGAAATCTACTCAAAGTCCACTCAAAATCAGCAGAAGCTAATTTTGTGAAAGAAGAAAACTGGTCTTCCCATTAAGCCCAATATACCAGGGCACCCTTCAGAGGAAGAAGACAAGCCTCCATCAGGTTCATCTAGCTGGTTTAAGAAATCTGTGTGAAGCTGGGCATGGGGAGGCTCATGCCTGTAATCCTTGGCACACAGGAAGCTGAAATCTGAGGATCATAGATCAGAGCCAGACCCGATAGGAAAGTCTGTGAGTCCCATATCTCCAATTAATGACCAAAAGGCAGGAAGCAAAGGCTGTGGCTCCAGTGGAAGAGTGCTAGCCTTGAGCAAAAAGCTAAGGGACAGTGCCCAGGCCCTGAGTTCAAGACCCAGTACTGTGTGGGGGCGGGGAGGAGCGGGGATTTTTACATTAAGGCAATTTTTCTCCACAAACACCTTTAACTTCTGTGGCTGTATTTGGATTGAGGATATACTCTCATTCTTCCCCTCTCCTGCCCACTCCTCAATCCTGAGAATACAAGCCTGAGGTCAGTGTCATCCTGGGTGGGGACAAAGTGGCTGAGGAAGGGACACAGCCAGTGCCCACAGCAGGATCTCTCCCTAATCTCATTTCCACAGCCTCCCACAGCACAGGCCCCACTGAAGACACTCAACTGGGGGAGCAGCAGTCCTAAGTATGATGCAGGAAGACAAGTCCCCACTACAGACTTATTTTGAGATGCTATGTTTCAGCTCTAAATCAAGTACAGAAAGATAAGTATAAACCACTTCACTGGCTGGCATGTAAACTAAAATCTTCAGAAAGATTTCAGCATACAGAATGTATACGATGGACTTGTTATTCATCATGTTAAACAACTGACGTAAGGAAAATTTGGTTGGACTCATCTATTAATCTACCAATCCACCCACATATACACTAACCATGCATTTACCTACCGCCATCCACCCATCCACCCACCCATCCACTGCTTCCTACCAATTCACCCACCTCGCGTTTATCCATCCATTCATCCACATATTCACCCACTCATCTACTCATCAATAGTCAACTCACCCATCCACCCCAAACACATCCATCCGACCTACTCACCAATCCATCCATTCATCCACCCATCGGCATACTCACTCCCCCATCTTCCCATTCGTCCTTCTGAAGGCTGATCCATTCATCCATTCACTCATCCATTTACTAGCCAATCCACATACCCCAGCCGTTTATTAGCATTTAATCTGTATCCACATGAAGGGTATTTTAAAAAGAAAAAGTAAACTATTAGTCTTCTTGGTGGTCAGGAATGAGAAGGGAAATCCTGAGATCAGGAAAAAAAAAAAAAAGTGTGGCAAATAAGTCCACGAGGGAAACGCGGAGTCACTGTTCTTCCTACACCTCCCCCGTCGGCGAAGGACATCGCTACTCGCAGTGCAGCGAGCATCGACTTTGAGGGTAAACTCTTATGAGTACAATTTCTGAACTAGAGAGGGTGTGCAACTAATTGCACACAAACTACCCAGATTTCACCAAATTCCCCTCTTCTCTTTTTATTGTTATTATTATGATTATTGTGTGCTGGTACCAGGGCCTGGGCACTATCCCTGAGCTTTTGTGCTCAAAGCTGGCATTCTACCACTGTAATCACACCTCCATTTCTGGCTTTTTGCTGAGTACTGGGAGGTAAGACTTTCCTCTCCCTGCTGGCTTTGAACCAGCATCCTCCTATCTCAGCCTCCTGAATAGCTGGGATTGCAGGCAGGAACCACTGAGGCTGGGCTTCCCTATTCATTTTAAATACATCCCCAACAATTGTGAATATGAAACTTCTCCAACAAATGACACTTCCTGCGAGACCGCACACACGATCAGGACTCTTAGCACAAAGGTATATGGAAAACAGTGCGTTTCTTCTAGATTGTAGACTGAATGGGGATCACCTCTCAAATTAATATGTTGAAGCCCTAATACGAATATCTCAGAATATAATTAGAGTTGGACACAGAGCCTTTAAAACAGGTGATTAACATAAAACAAGGCCACAGTCTGTTGCCCTTATCAGAAGAGGCGGTGGGGAGAGACAGACTCAGAGGGACGGCCGCGTGAGGGCCCCAGGGGAAACGGCATTCTGCAAGCTAGGAGAGTCTTCAGGAAGCTCCAGAGCCCACACAGCGAAGGTTCCAGCAGGGAGAGAAAATACGTGTGTGAGCTGTGGGGCTCTGTCATGGAAGCCCAAGGGAATTCGAACACCCAGTGCTCAAGGGACCCCAAGTCAGTGGGAGAGACATTTGCAAGGAACTGTCGGTGCCTGCTCTTAGTGCAGTTCTGAATGCGGGGACTGCTGGGAACGCCTAGAGAACAGGAAGGCCGCGCTGCTGAAGGCAGCACAGGCCGGAGGGGAGCAAAAGCCAATGGATCTGCTCCCTTGGGGTCTGGTGACTTGTGCCTCAGCACCCCCAATCTTTTCTACACAACCCAGCATTCTCTCTTGTGACTTCTAATACATGTTTTTCTTTTGGTGCCTGTACTGGGGACTGAACTCAGGGCCTTGCCTTTGCTAGGCAGATGCTTTGCCACCTGAGCCATGTCTCCAGCCCATTTTGCTTTCATTGTTTTTCAAATACATTCTTCCATGTAAACCTCAAGCTGACACTCAGGTTTGTACTTCCCAAGCACCTGGGGTGACAATGAGCACTACCACATGCAGCTATTCGCTGAAGTACGGTCTTGTCAACTTTTTGCCTAGGCTGGCTTTGAATCACCACATCTCTCCGTGTGTGTGTGTGTGTGTGTGTGTGTGTGTGTGTGTGTGTGTGTGTGTGTGTGTGTGTGTGTGTGCGCGCATGCCAGTCCTGGGACTTGAACTCAGGGTCCGGGCACAGTCCTTGGGTTTTTTTGTGTTTTTTTTTCACCTCAAGGCTAGTGCTACCACTTGAGCCACAGCTCCACTTCTGGCTTTCTTGGCAGTTAATTGGAGAGCCGAGTCTCGCAGACTTTCCCGCCTGGGCTGACTTCAAATCACCATTCTCAGATCTCAGCCTCTTGAGTAGCAAGGATAACAGATGTGAATCACCAGTGCCCAGAGTTGTTTTTATGTTTTTGCTTTTTGTGTTTTTGTTTTTTTCCATTCTTAGGATAGGGTTTCATTATATAGTGTAAGCTGGCCTCAAAGTGAAGATCTTCCTACCTCGACCTTCTTAGGGCTAGATTTACAAGCATGCGCTACTACATCCATGTAGTTTTTTTTTTTAAATTGAGGTCCTACAATATCTTGAATTACAAACACATCAAAAAAGTTATCTCCATTTGACTTGGATGAACAACCATCAAAAATAATTTCTAGCCGGGCGTCAGTGGCTCACGCCTGTAATCCTAGCTACTCAGGAGGCTGAGATCTGAGGATCACAGTTCAAAGCCAGTCCAGGCAGCAAAGTCCGTGAGACTCTTATCTCCAATAAACCACTAGAAAACCGGAAGAGGCTCTGTGGCTCAAGCGGTAGAGCGCTCGCCTTGAGCTGAAGAGTGCAGGGACAGCACCCAGGCCCAGAGTTCAAGCCCCATGGCCCACCAAAAAGAAAACAAAAAAAAAATAATTTCTATGTCAACATTTTTCTGTTACCCCAACAGAAGTAAACAAAAAGTACTTTTTAATGACCATGCATCTGTAGTCAGATCAGTAATTCATTCATTATACAAACATTTTTCAGTTACTTTAAACTTGTGTAAAATATTGAATTTATTTTTGGCAGTACTGAAGTTCAAACTCAGCCTCATGCTTACTGGGTGGGCACTCTACTGCTAAGCCATGCCTCCAGCTCTGGTTTTCCTCTGGCTAATTTTTAGAGAGGGTCCTGAGTGCACACCTGGACCCTGATCCACCTAATTCAGGCTTCCCATCTTTGCTGGCATGCACCACCATGTTCAGTTTCCCTCCATTGAGGTGGAGAATCAGACTTTTCTGCCCAGGTCACCTGGAACCCTGATCCTCCCACTCGCAGTCTACCACGCAGTGTAGACAGGCATTGGCACTGTGTCTCGCTATGGAGTGAGAAGTGGATCTCATGGAAATTTGCTCCGTGGGCTGGCCTTGAATCACAGTCCTCCTATTCTTGGCCCTCAAGTAGCTAAGGATTCCATGCATGAGCCACTAGTGCTCATTAGACTTTTTTTAAAAAGTGTATTACAGATTTTTGGCTATGGTGGATAAAGGACTGAACTTGCATTTTGATTATTCTTTTAATTTTTCAGACATGTTCTTTCTTGCTGACCCTTTGGAAAATTAAATGATCTCTGGGAAGAGTTGAAAATGACTTTTTAGCATTCATATTTTGGAATCCATTGGGCCTTGTCACTCTCAGAAACATACACATGATAATTCTGAAAATTGCTGGGTTTGTAGCTCAAAAGCAGAACACGTCTGGAACTAATTTCTTCAGAGTGGTTATACAGTCTGCTAGAAGACACAGCCCCCTAAATAGTGCACACAGCCCCTCCCCTCTCCCTCTTGACCCTTTCAGTGGCTCCCACTTCTGTGTACATGGGACATGCACCTTACAGGTGTTCATGAGATGTTCTCAAAGCACAGCAGAGGATCTGCCCTGCGTCATGCATGCCAGTCGTATGGGACGGGAGGTAGGAGCAGAGCAAGACTCCATGTGTGCAGAGCCTGCAGTGCGGTGCATAGCTGCTCGGAGACTGCCATGCTGCCTGGAAGCTGGCTTTGCAAAACAGACCACAGCTGGCACTCAGCACGTGACTGGCTCAGACTCCACAGTCATAAAGCTCTAATTGTGTTCCTCAGACACTGCAGAATTCTGTAGGTGGATTATGCCCCAGCCTTTCTTCATCATGGGTGCATCGTTTTAGTCATGCAGGCTGCAAAGTGATTGTGAGGACTTCCAACATCCCCCCACCGCCTGAATACTAGACCTGTCACCCAAGCCACATAAATAAACACGTGATCATGTCACATAAAGCTCACAGTGTTCAGCTGAAAGGCAACTGAAGTAAAATCCTGTACATAAGGCTCTTAAAAGTAAACATCTAGCATAACACCGGCGGCTCACACCTTTAATCCTGGCTACCTGGGAGACTGAGATCTGAGGATAGCAGTTTGAAGACAGCCTAGGCAGGAAAGTCTGTGAGACTCTATCTCCAGTTAACCACCAAAAAAGCCAGACTGGAAGTGTGGCGCAAGTAGTAGAGTACCAGCCTGGAGCAGAAAAAGCAAAGGGACAGTGCCAAGGTCCTGAGTTCAAGCTCCAGTACCAGTGCACTCGCACGTGCGCGCGCGCACACGCACGCACACACACACACACACACACACACACACGTAAACATCTAGATCAATTATTTCTGATTGAAAACTTGAGTAATGATTGGGGTCCACTTAATTTGCATATTATAGCAATTATACAAGCTTTTCCAAGCAACAGAAAAATCCAAAGTCAGTACTGCTGTGCCCACTGAATCCCATCTGTCCATCAGTCTGTGTAAAGAAAGGTCTGCAGCTGCGGAGACAGACGTACGCTCTCTTTCTCATGGCCCCTCTCTCAGCAGGAGGACAAGCTCACACATGAATTTATTCACATCGCATCCTCTCCACAACAGAGCCGAGACACGTGCAACATGTCAGAATCCAGACAGTCACCTTTGTAACGCTGATGCCAACACAGACCTTGCTTCCCGTTGGGGAATCCGCTGACTTCACCTCTTCTTAAGCTCAAAGTCAACTCCTTAAAAAAGTCCTTTCCAACTGATGGTCTTCTGTAGCAACTCTAATTCTGACACCGGGACCCAAAGACCACAGCTGGGTGCTAGATGGTTAAAACATACTGCCAGTCAAGTACCTCGTTCCATAAAACAGTTCATGGTACATAGGCTGGGTGCAGGTGGCTCACGCCTGTCATCCTAGCTACTCAGGAGGCTGAAGATCTGAGGGTCACAGTTTTAATCCAGCCTAGTCAGGAAAGTCTGTGAGGCCTTTATCTCCACATAACCACCACAAAGCTGGAAGCGGAGCTGTGGCTCAAGTGGTAGAATGAGCACAAAGGCTCGGGGACAGCACGCAAGCCCTGGGTTCAAGCCCCAGGACGGGCACCAAAACGAACAAACAGAAGTCATAGTACAGAATCAGTAGCAGTTTTAAAGAAATGTAAAGTGGCATGTTGGTCACGCTTCTGCGGACAGTGCTTGCAGGGCCTACGAGACTCTGCTTGAAACTCCAGGGCACTGGGGATGCCGGCAATCACGCCCAGCTCACAGCTCTGACACCGATGTTCCACTAAGCACTCGCCTTGTGCAATAGCTCACTCGCAGCACACCCTGCACGCGAATCCCCAATCCAAATTTCACCTACCTCAGAGCGGAACATGCCTCCTCACCGGGTCCCACGGACGCCAGCGCTCCTCTGTGCCCGCCAGAATCCTCTGCCTGCCTGCGTGGTTCCACAGATGCCTCCTGCAAAGGGGGACACTGTGAGACACCAAGCCACGGAGCTGCCCGCCGGCCTCTGGCATCTGTCATTACGAACCCCCTCATTTGTGGGCTTGCCTTGCGCGCCGGTCCCACAGTGCCGATCGCCACATCCCTTGTCTTGCACTGCCACTCCGCCACGGGATGTGCCCGTTCCGCTCCACAAAGCGTTCCATTGAGTCCACTGACCTAAGACCCTGCATCCATTTCTAGGCAGGAAATAGAAGTCCTACGCAAAGCCTGGGAAGCACGTGACACAGCTGGCCAGACAAAATACAATAAGGCAGCTGGTCACCAGTCACTACGGTGGAAGCTTGGGCCTTTGGAGTCGTGGGGGCTGGGATGCTTCGCTCCTACTCAGCATGAATGGGGTGCTCAGTGGTCCCCAGGCACCCAGCACAAGCCAGGGCAGGTTTTCAGTACCAGGATGTCATAGGACAGAGAGCAGTTTTCTTTCCAATTGTCTTGGCTATCTTGTATTACAGTTACAACTGGGTCTTTTACAAGAAAATCTGTTGCAGCAGCCATTTTTCTCTTTGAAATACACAAATTCAGAGAGAATACACATGAAAAGCAGAGACAGGGACAGGGAAAAAGGAGACTCTAAAGTACTGATAAAAATATGTAGTTTGTAGAAACGGATAGCAATGAACTCCGAAGAGTACACTGTGAGCTGGCGGGTGCGGCTCAAGGGCGGAGTGCTTGCCCAGTGTGCATGAGGCCCTGGCTTCACCCCAACACTAAAATGGGGGGGGGGGTCAATAATAAAATCTACTAAAAATTGTTTAAAGGGGGAGGTGAAAGTTTAAAAAAGCGTAAAATAGGGTAAATTTGATTTATACGTTATATGCATGTGTGGATACTACGATGAAGGCTCTGTGCAATTAAGTCAAATAAAACATGCAAAGCAGATACAAAAATGAAAAATATTTAAAACTACTTTAAAAAATGTACAATAGTTTCACTTTTGTCTCAGGGTGTACCCTTAAAAAGTAATTGTGAGCCAGGCACCAGTGGCTCACGCCTGTAATCCTAGCTACTCAAGAGACTGGGATGTGAGGATCGCAGTTTGAAGCCAGCCTGGGCGGAAAACTCCCTGTGAGACTCCTATCTCCAATGAACCACTCAAAAACCGGAAGTGGTGCTGTGGCTCAAGTGGTAGAGCGCTAGCCTTCAGCACAAAGAAGTTCAGGGACAACACCTAGCCCCTGAGTTCAAGCCCCACGACTAACAAATAATAATAATAATTGTGAGCGTAAGTTGCACATGATAGCACATGCTAGTAATCCCAACTACTCAGAAGGATTATAGTTTGGGGCCAGCCTAGCAAAAAGTTAGTGAGACCACATTTCAACTGAAGAAGCCAGGCATAGTGGGACAGTTATAATCCCAGCTAAGCAGGGTAGTCAGGTTGGTCTGAAGCCAGACACTGGCAAAGAGTGCCAAATCCTATGTGAAAAATAACTGAAGAGCCAAGACTGACCAAAAACAAAGGTGATAGTATGGCTCAAGTGGTAGAATACTTGCCTAGTAAGTGTAAGGTCCTGAGTTCAAATCCCAGTAGCACCTTAAAAATTTACACACTTAAAAAAAAGATACTAAATGTTAAATAGTATCAATATTTTAGAAATGGCTAGTAGCTGATGAGGAACCCACTTTTACTTCCTTAGATAAAGCTACCAGTTTCTTTGCTTCCTACCTCTACCTCCTCACCCTCCCTCCCCAAGATTTTTACTACATGTGAAGGAAGCAAACCACTGAAACAAATTAATCCTAGCTCCTCAGGAGGCTAAGATCTGAGGATTGAGGTTTGAAGCCAGCAGAGGCAGAAAAGTCTGTGAGACTCTGTATCTCCAACTGTTGAGCAAAAGAGTGTACGTGGAGGTATGGCTCAAATGGTAGAGCCCCGGGCTTGAGCAAAATAGCTTAGCAAGAGCACAAGGCCCCGAGTTCCAGCCCCAGTACTGGCACTAGCGCGTGTGCACGTGCACACACGCATGCACATGCATGCGCGTGTGCACGTGCACACACGCATGCACATGCATGCGCGTGCGCACACACACACACACACACACACACACACACACATAAGAAGAAAGAAAAAAAGAAAAGGAAAAGAAAGAACAAACGGGAATGGGGAAGAGAGGAGGCTGAGAATGAAAGATGGGCTGGCAGGAAAATTGCCATGCCAACAGCGACAGCAACTTTCTCCTGCAGTACCTTTCACACAGGCATCGCTGGCAGACACTCATACGCCCGGATTTCAGGGGGGCCATCAGATTCTGGGTGTGTGCTCTGTGCCTGGTGAGGTGGGGGGTCAGGCGAGGCTCACCTGTGAGTAGTGCTCTGTGGACGGGGACGAGCGGGACCGTTCGTGAAGGTACTGCGGCTTTTCGTGTTGGTCCAAGCCCACGTCCAGGATGTCATCTGCCGAGTGATACCGGCCTGCGCTTCTGCCTTCCAGCGGCTTCCTCTGCTCCTTCCAGGACGCCTGGTATTCCGCAAAGGTTCCGAGTCTCTGCGGTGGGTCGGACTTTCTGGCCCTTTCCGATTTTCCGTGGCCATTGAGCATCTCCCCGAAGGAGGTGGCGCGCCACCTCGTGTGCAGCCAGGGCTCGCCCCGCGCGCGCGCGGGCCCGGCTGTCCCGGGCCGCTCGGCCTTCTCTCTCGGGAGCCCCCCGGGCGCCTGTCTCGGGCCCGGCCTCTGCGGCACCAGCTTGCTTGTCTCTTCAAAAAACTTGCACCTGTCGGCGAACGTCCCTATGGCGTCGTCCGCTGTGCCGTGACACGCGTGGGGGCCGTGGCCGCCCGAGAGCCCCACCTCGTTCATTTTCTCTGGCTCAGAGTAAGACTTCAGCTTCTGTTCCACGGTGAACCGTTTCCGGCCTCCAATCCGGGAAAGGGGAGGCAGGCCCCCGCCCGGGGCCGATGGCCTGGCAGGGCCTGCGTCCCAGAAGTGGGGGGCCCCAGAGTCTGGCTCCCCAGAATACGAGGAGGAGGCACTGGGGTCCCCAGACCTGAGTTCTGATGAGCCCGGAGCCTGATCGGCTGGGGACGGGTCTAAATCGCGGCGCTTGAAGGACGTGGCCCGGAGGACGCGGGCTTGCGCCTCCTTCACGTGGTCTTTGTAGGTACTGCTGAAGGAAGCTTCTGGAGAGGCCCCAGCCTGGTCCCTCCACACGCCAGCCTCATCCTCGGCCTCGCCGGCCGCAGCCAGGGCCACCGTGCTCCTGCTTTTCTGCAGCTTTGCTCTGCGCATCTGGATCTCGTTCCTCAGCGTGGTGGCAAAGCGGTCGCTCCTGCGCGTGGGTTTCCCGCCCTGGGCATCGAACGGCGGCGGCGGCTTCTCGGCGGCATCGGGGCAGCTCTCGGGCTGCTGCGCCCGCTCCTGGGTCAGGGAGTGCAGCATGGGCGTCCTCTGGCGACAGATCCTGCTGCCCGGCCCATCCGCCCACTTGCCGCCGTCGCCCGTTCTCTGCACGCCGGCTTTCTCCGCCCGGCCGGCGGCCGCGGGTTCGTGGGCGCCCGCGCAACAGCCCTCGGCGCCGCCGTCGAGCGGGTGACACCGCTGCGCGTCGAGGGCATTCGGGGCCCCTTCGCGCTGAGGGAGGGGGCATCGCGCGCTGTGGGCCACGGGCTGCGTGGACGGCTCGTCGAGGCCCGCGTTCCCGTGCCAGGAATCGCCCCGCAGCGCAGCGGCCCGCGCCGCCCCTGGCACGGGCTGCCTGGCCGGAACGCAGGAGTCATGGCTCGGTCCCCCGCTCTCAGCCTTCTGGCTGGCGGCACTGGATCGCCTGGCCTGAGGCGGGCAGGGGTCCTGGCAGCAGGCGGAGGGGGGCGGCTGCTGGGGCGCCCTCTGCAAGGCGGGGGGCCTGGCGCTCTGGTCGCTGCCAAGGCCGCGCGGATGGCGGCCCCCTGGGTAAGGCTGCAGGAAGCGCACATCCAGGCTGGACAGCGAGGTCTGCAGCCGGCCTGGGACCCCCAGGGGGGGGACCCCGGTCTCCATGTGACTTTCGGGTCCGCCGCCGCCGGGGCTGCTGAGGCCTGCCGGCCTTCGCTGCCGCTCGGCTGCCTCCACCCTCCAGTCCCCGCGGGGCTGCGGCCTGGCCGACGCCATCATCAAGTGCTGGGACGCAGCCACGTCCGCCAGCGCGAGGCTGGGCGCCGGCGCCTTCTCCGGGCCCTTGGTGGCAGCGAAGCTGTCACTGCGCAGGGGAGGGGGAGGGGGCGGCGGCGAGGACGGCGCCTTCTTCTTGTCAGGAACATGCCAGACCGGCCCGAAACTCAATCGCCCAGAGGTGAGCAGCTTGGGCTCGGCAGGGTCCTCTGGTCTGGGGCTTTTAGTGTTGTCCCGGGCCAGGGGTCTGCCCTCCATGCTGCGCAGGTCGCCTGCAACCTGAGCCTGGTGGCTACCGTCTGGCCTGGACGCTTCCCAAAGGTGGACTTTGTAGAGGATATTCTCAGCGGAGGAGGCATCAGCCTTGGGCAAGGTGTGGTCTGGGGTGCTAGAGCTGGTGGAGAAGGAGCCATATGCAGAATCGCGTTTGCTATGACCGCCCACATGGTCGATGCTGCTGCTGGATTTGGCTGCTGAGAGGCGGCCAGATGGGTAGGGCTGGGAGGGGTGGTCCAAGCTATCCATGCTTCCCAGCGAGCTGAAATGCTCAGAAGTGCGCTGGAGGCTCCTCTGCTCCCAGGAGCTGGACAGGTCGTGAGAAGAACTACAGCAATGACAAGATCACAAGCAACAAGTTTGCTTCAGCACTGAGAGAACAGCAAAGGGCAAAACTGGGGAACGAGGGCATTGTGAAGACATCCTGTAGCCACTGCCTACCACGGACTCATTGCTCACGTGTTCTATTTCTCGAATGCTTTATTATCCTTCTAACAAGACACACATGGGGATGTTACAGGCCACTAGCACATCACAGGGTTCCAGAGTGACTGCAGAGGCAGATGCAGATGCAGCTGCAGAAGAATCCCCTGGGGAACTTTGGTGAACTACTCGGCTGCTCCCCAACTATCTCCTGCCTGCCAATGCACAGGAAATCCCTCCAGAGAAGACGGTGGTGGTACGCCTGTGGGTGCCAGAGAGCCTGGCTGGGAACCACCAACTGCCCCGTGTCCCTGTGCACAGTCCCACAGGGATTCCAGTGAGGCTCTTTCCCTGTCTCTCGCACACACAACACACAGGCGAAAACACCGTGTGCGACTGCCTCACCATTTCACTGTTGCATTTTTCTTTTTTTTTCAATGCTGGTCCTGGGGCTTGAACTTGAGTGCGCTTGCTGATCTTTTCTTTTTTTTTTTTTTTTTTTAATTTTTTCCGCTCAAGGCTAGTGTTCTACCACTTGAGCTATAGCTCCACTTCTGGGTTTTGAGTAAGTTATTGGACATAACAGGCTCCCGGACTTTCCTGCCCGGGCTGGCTTTGAAGCGCCATCCTCAGACCTCAGCCTCCTGAGTAGCTAGGATTGTAGGCACTGGGCTCATTGTTTTATTTTAATGGAGTGTTCACGGCTTTGTCTCATCAGAAGCATTAAAGCCAATCTCGAGTCCATAGAGCACTGGAATTGGTGAGCATTTACAAAAACATCACTCGGGCTTTGCTTGGTCTCAAGAAACAAGCAGGTACCTTGCATGGTGCTGGACATGCCAGGAAGGGGAGCCACTGGCACAGGGGAAGTGCGAAGCCACAGGTTCAGGATGGCCATCGGAGAACTTGGTGGCGTGCCAGGAGTGAGGCCTCCAGCTCGACTCATTCCTCCTGGAAAAGAACGTGAATGCTGAGGACCTGGACGCTGGAGCCCTTCATGCCAAATGGCAAGGCAAGAATGGACAACGATTTCACTGCTGGCCTGGGATCAGCAGGTGCTTCCCACTGGTTGAAATCTCTATTTTTTCCTTCTTCTTTTTTTGGTCCGAGACTAGGACTCAAACTCGGTACTGGATGCTTTCCCTCACTGGCTAGTGCTTTACCAGCGGAGCCCTCGATCTCTATTAATGGCCAACTTTCCCAATGCACATTGAAAACCACAGGCTCCAAAACATAAAACAGTCCTTATTCTTTACAAGTCATCCGTCCATCAGATGTGACTATTGTTCGTCAATTAGAAATTAGACGAAGGTAAAAATAGATCAAGTGTATTTTCTACATATATAAACCTGCCCCCTAACCCCCAGCGCCAACAAAACCAGGTCCTCCTATCTTTTGAGTTTCAACATAACTTTCACAGGATCATAAACCTCTATGGACAAGGGATCGGTCTGAGAAAAAAGGTCCCCATGTTCCCTGTCCTTGGGGATTCCCTGTCCTTGGGGACTCACAGAATTTAGACTGCTTACCTCTCTTCCATAAACACAGTTGCAGTGTAGTTAACTACGACTTGTAGATGTATCTTCCTTTAAGCATCCTAACTATTGTGAGGTCAATCCAAGGTCCCCAACCTGTGATCAGGACACCCCACATTGGCAGGCTTGAGTCTATCCAAGCCAGGGCTTTTTTTTTAGAGTGGCTTGAACCTTCACCAACTCCCAGACCACACCTGTGCAGGTATGATAAGGTGTGTCCAGGGAAATCCCTACAGATGCTAGGTAGAGGATGAAGCCTATAGAAGAACGCTACCAGGCACAGAAACCCTCTAAGCTCCCTGACTGTGAGCAGTTAATGCACAGTGTTTCCACTTCTCTAAATTAAGAGAGAAATGACCTCATCCTGGACAGTTTGGAGACTGATCAGGAATGAAGAAAGAAACTAGGTGCTGTCAGCTCACACCTGTAATCCCAGCTACTCAGGAGCCTGAGATCTGGGGATCATAATTCAAAGCCAGCCCAGGCAGGAAAATCTGTGAGACTCTTAGCTCCCATTAACCATCAAAAAGAAGCTGGAAGAGGAACTGTGGCACAAGTGGTAGAGCACCAGCTTTGAGCAAAAAAGCTAAGGAACAGCACCCAGGGCCTGAGTTCAAGCCCCAGTACCAACATGACACATGTGCATGTGCACACGCACACACGCGTGCGTGCACACACACACACACATACTCTCTCTCTCTCTCTCTCTCTCTCTCTCTCTCTCGTTCATACAACAAACCTTCCAATGAGCCTGATGATTTTAATGAGGAAAAGTATAAGGGGAACAAAATGTAGACTGTGTTGGGTTTATGAGTTCCCCATAAACTAAAGATCAAGTGAAAAATGGACAGATGTATTATACCACCCAAGTAAGTGATTATAAAACCAAGACTATACCTAATAGAATTTCTCAAAATCCTTGTTAAGGAAGGTTCTGGCCACATTAATTTCATCTTCAGTTGCCTTTTTCTGTGTTGTAAGGTCTGTAACTTCTTTATGATTAATTAATAAAGGAAATGAACTAGACTGACCGAAACCATAAAGCCAATGGATGGAAAAGAAAGCTGAGAAAGGGAACTGCTCCACACGTGTGGCAGCCATCTTTGTGTCCACCCTCACTCCCACGCCCCACTCCTCTAGAAACACTGGACTGCTCTAGCTGAGATGGGTAGTGGGCAAAAGTAAAGTTCTTCCCGAAGCACATGTGAACGTGTAGGATCCAAAAGTTCTGTGTGCTACTGCACATGGTGGGGCATGCTTATAGTGTCAGCATTGAAGATGTAGAGCAGGAGGGTCACAGGCAGGTCATGATGGGCTACATATGAGAAAAATAAAGACAATAATAAAATGACTTTATAAAAATGTGTGGCAACAAAAATCGCTGTAAAATCTCTGCGACCTTTTCATCCAAGTGAATTTGTATTACACCCCCACCTTTAGTGTGGACTGGCCCAAGAGACTTACTTATCTACATCCCGGTGCATTTGCATCCACCCCCTTCCAATCACTCAAAATGGGCTGGCCCAAGAGACTTGCTTAATTCCATCCAGGTGAATCCCCCCACACCCTAACCCTTCAATATAGATTATCCCAACATATTAGTTTAACTGAGATCAGTTGGATTTACACCCATCCCTTTAATGTGAACTGGCCTAAGTATCAGAACAGGAGCAAGTAACATTCTAGGATATTGGCGTTAAAAGATCTGCTTAACTCCCTGACAAGGGTTAGCATCAGCTCTCCACCAATCTTCAATGTGGGCTAGTCCTAGAGACTTAATTCTATCTAGGTATATTCCCCCCCCTCCAAGCCTTCAATATGGGTTAGCCCAAGAGACAAGCTTAACTCCATCTAGGTAATTAGTGCCCCTCCCTCCCCATATATGGGGACTAGCCTAAGAGAGTTGCTTAACTCCACCCAAGTGGATTTGCATATTCCCCCTCCAACCATTCAACATGGAGGTAGCCCAAGGAGCTCGGCTCCCTTTACTCCAGTCAAGTAACTTCCACTGACCATCCCTTCAGCGTGGGATGGCTCAAGAGAGGCGCTTAACTCCATTCAGATGGATTTCTGTCACCACCCTCATCTCTGCCACGTGGGCTGACACCAGAGATTGCTTAACTCCATCCATGGCTCTTGCTCTTCTTCAAGGTGGGCTAGTCCAACAGGCTTGCCTAACTTTATCCAGGAGCTCCCACGCTCCTCCTTCCCTGGGCTGGTCCACTGTGTAACTCAGTCCAGCAGGACCTGCGCTCAGCCGTTCCACGTGGGCTGACCCAGGAAACTTGCATAAGTACCAGAACAGGAACCATCGCCATTCTGGAGTCCGGGAGTTACGAGACTTGCTTAATTCCCTTCCAAAGGATTTGACTTCTCCCCCACTCCATTCTTCAATTGGTCTCGCCCTAGAGAATGAATTCCAACCAGGTGTATTCCCCCCCCCCCCCCATCTCTTCAACATGAACTGGCCCAAGAGGCAAGCTTAACTCCATCTAGGTAAATTATCTCTCCCTCTAATATACGGGCTGGCCCAAGAGCCGAGTGGAACACCAGCCAAGTGGATTTGCATATCCCCCTTCCAACCATTCACAGGGGAGGGCCCAAGGGGGAACTGCTTAACTCCATTCAAGTAACTTCCACTGCTCATCCCTTCAACTGGGATGGTTCCAGAGGTGCTAACTCCACTCAGGTGGGCTTTCCATCGCCACCCTCATCTCAGCAATGTGGGATGACCCAAGAGATTGCTTAACTCCACCGCAGGGTATTTGCATCTCACTCCTCTTTGATGGGCTGGTCCGAGAGGCTTAACTCCATCCAGGCGCTCCCACACTCCCCATTCTTTCAAATGGACTGGCCCACTGTCTGTGTAACTCCGAGCAGATGGACCTGCACCCAGCCCTTTACTAACATTCTAGGACACTGGAGCTAAGAGACTAATTCCCTCCCACAGGATTTGCATTCCCCTCCTACCACTCTTCAGTGTGGCCTAGTCCTAGAGACTTAACTCCATCCAGGTGTAGCTTCCTCCCCCTCCCTTCAATATGGGCCGGCCCAACGTGCTTAACTCTATTTGGGCAGATTAGCTCCCACTTTAATATATGTAGGTTGGCCCAAGAGACCTGTGTAATTCCACGCAGGTGTATCCCCCTCCCCCATTCCTTTAATAGGGGCTGGCCCAAGAGACAAGTTTAAAACTGCATCTTATTAGCTCCCCCTCCCCTTTCCTATATATGGACTGGCCCAAGAGACTTAATTAACTTTATCCATGTGGATTTACTCCCTCATAACTCTGCAAAGTGGGCTGGGATTTACTCCCTTATAGCCGCAATGTGGGCTGACCCCAGACTTGCTTAATTCCATTCCTGGGAATTGTTCCTCAAGCTTTTCAGTGTGGCCTAGCTCTAGAGACAGACTTCAGTCCATCCAGGTGTACCCCTCATCCTTTCCATATGGGCTGGCCCAATAGACAAGCTTAACTGTATTTAGATGGATTAACTCCCTCCCCCTTTAATATATGTGGGCTGGCCCAAGAGATTTCCTTATCTCTATCTAGATGGATTTACATACCCCCCCTCCAACCACTCAACATGGGTTAGCCCAAGGGGGCTTGCTTAATTCTCTCCAACTTCCACTGGCCTCCTTTCAATTTGGGATGGCTCAAGAGATGTGCTTAATTCCATCCAGATGGTTTTACACACACTTACACACACACACACACACACACACACACACACACACACACACACACACACACAACTCTGCAATGTGGGCTGCTTAAATCCATCCATGGAATTTGCATCCCCCTCCTCTTCATTGTGGGCTGGCCCAAGAGATTTACTTAACTCCATCCAGGAGGATTAGCCCCTCCCCACCCCCAAATGTGGGTTTGGCCAGCAGACATTCTTAATTTGATCGAGATGGATTTCTCTTCACCCCACTCTCTTGGGCCAATTCATATCGGGTAGTCCATCAAACATGCTTAAATCCATCCAGGTGGATTTGTACTCTTTTGTTGTTGCTGTCGGTCGTGGGGTTTGAATTTTGGGCCTGGGCGCTGTCCCTCGGCAGTTCAGCTGAAGGTTAGCGCTCTAAACTTGAGCCACAGCACCACTTCCAGTTTTTCTGTTTATGTGGTGCTGAGGAATTGGACCTAGGGCCTCATGCATGGGAGGCAAGCGCTCTACCACGAAGCCACCTTCCCGGCCTGTGGATTTGTACTCTTACTCATACCCCTTCAACATGGGCTGGACCAAGAGACTTAAGTCCATCCAGGTAGTTCCTCCCCTTCAAGATGGGCTGGCCCAAGGGACAGTGCAGGTGGATCTGAGCAACCCCTTCAACGTGGACTGGCCCAAGAAATTTGTATAAGTACCAGGATAGGAGCAACTGACATTCTACTTAAGACACTTGAGTCTC